AAAGTGCCCCCATTTTCCCCATTTCTCCCTTAATAATACCCTTATTCTATGGTCCCACCTCTCTTGAGCTCCTTGTTTGCCTTTATCCCCAAGGTTCCTTATATAATCCACCCCCTTCCCATTTCTATCCCTAGCTCCCTTAGTAACACCTGTTTCCTACTGTTCTTCTCTCTCAGGTTCTTTCTTTTCCTTTATGTTCCTGGTTCCTTTTCATTATCCTGGTTCCTGTAGCTATGTCTGGATATATACTCACTTACAAGAATTTGGTGCTAGTATCCACATATAAGGTGGAACATACGTTGCTTTTCTGAGGCTGTGTTAACTTCACTTAGTATAACAGTTTCTAGTTCCATCCATTTACCTGCAAATTTCATGATTTCATCTTTCTTTACTGATGAGTAGAACTCTATTGTGTAGATGTACCACATTTTCATTATCCATTCCCAGTTGATGAGCACTTAGGTTGCTTCCATCTCTTAGCTATTGTGAAAAGAGCAGCAATAAACATGGATGTACAAGTGTCTCTGCAACAGGATGAGGAGTTCTTTGGGTATGTGCCAAGGAGTGGTATAACTGGGTCAAATGGTAAGTTCATTTTTAGTTTTTTAAGGGTTCTACATACTGCTTTCCATAGGGGTTGAACAAGTTTGCAGCCCCACCAGCAGTGGATGAGTGTTCCCCTTTCCCTACATCCTATCCAGTATTTGGTATCATTGTTCTCTTGATCTTAGCCAGTCTGACTGGGGTAAGATGAAATCTTAAAGTGCTTTTAATTTGCATTTCCCTAATTACTAATGATGTTGAACACCTTTTGAGAGGCTTCTTAGCCATCTTTATTTCTTATTTTGAGAACTCTCTGATCAGCTCCCTAGCCCATTTTCAACTGGGTTACTTCCTTTCTTGATTCTTTGTTGCTTGAGTTCGTTATATATTCTGTATGTTAAACCCCTGTCAGATGTGTCACTGGTGAAGATTTTCTCCCATTCTGTGCGTTTTCTCTTCACTTC